CATTAAGACATTTTTTTCTTGTCTAATAGAACCCAATCTCCTTATAATGCCATGAAGACATTTAAAAGTGGAATAGAGTCTCTCTAGTCTAGAATGATTTAGATGTGATTTGGCATTGAAGGAGACTGGACTGGATGGACAACCAGCTCTGTCATTTCAGTCAGTGAAGGGAGATGGTGGGAAAGAGAATGAGCCCCTTCAGATTTCCTCAGCCCCTGCTTCCAGGGGAGTGGTGGAATTTCTTAATTCCTAAGTATTTCTTGGTCTAAATTGCAACCCTTTTCATCATTTTCTTATGATTTAGATGTGATTTAGGTGTGAAGGAGATAGAAGACATATGACAATGGTGATCATTTTCTTCATAGCGCTTATGATAATGGAATGTTATATTTTATATCTAATTGTTATTAGAATGTAACTTCCGTGAGGGCAGGGACCTTGCCTATTTTGTTCACTACTTCATCGGCAGTGCAGAGATCAGTGCCTGGCTCCATAGTAACTCAACAGAGAGTTACTGAAGCAATTTTTATGGTCATAGCTTGTGTGAGATAAGTGTTCATTTTTGGTTTGGAAAATATGGTGAGTGTGGCCACATGATTCTGAGTTAAACACAATTACTAACACATTTTAATAATTTATTTTATGGTTGCTTTGATAACTTCTCCTAATACCTTAGTTTACCGTTGGATCTTGGGTCTGCTATCAGATGTGAAAAGGGAGTGGTTTTTTTTTTTGGCAGGTTTGATTTAGACCTTGCATTCATTGTTACTTGTCTGGTTACAAAGAGACCTTGATAATTGACAGTTGTATTCAAGTCCTGAAAGAACGCAGCGAGCTGGTGATTAGGGGTGCCTTCGAGCTGTCATTTTGATTTTGGTGGAATTGTACTTCAATGCTTTGCCTAGGAGCACTAGGAGAGACAGTTTTCCTTTACAGGCTCCCTGTAGAAAAACTTCACCGGCGTGAAAAAAAAAATGATACCTACTGACTTACTTTTCATCTGAAATTAATGTGAACAGCAACGTCTAAAGAAGGCAGATAAGACATGTTTTCACTTCAGTGAAATCAAGATTTTCAAAGCTTTTGAGCTGCTAATCCCTCTCCTTCATCTCTGCTACTTTTTCCTCTTTTCTCCAAAGCAATGTCTGCATCAAAGCTACATCTCTGACATGACCAGAACAATCAGAGGCAAGGTGAAAATGCAATGCGTGATGATTGAATACTGTTACTTCACAGAGCGGCAGTAGGTCCAGGACGGGGTTTGCAGTAGTGCCCCATCCTGATTACCAACACACCAGGAAGTGGAATGAAAGGTGCCAAATTGATTTATCCCAGGGCTCCTTGGCAGCCATGGAACTTGGTATACCCTTTCATGAGAGATGAAACCCTTAAAAAAAGTCAGATGCTGGAAAATAGTGAGGACATGACTGTTTTTTCTATGGTCAAGACCAGTTTCCAGGTCTCTTGTCATGGTTTTTGGCAATGACTTTGCTCTGACAACTGAGAGAAACAGAGCTGGGGGTTGTGGCAGCGGGATAATGCTCTCAGGATCAGGTGCTCTGGCTTGCTAATTAGGTTAAATTTAGATAGTGTGACATGTTTGTAAGTGAAATACTGTTACAATAGAAGAGGTGGCTATGGATCCCACAGCAGAAACAGAAAGAAACAAAGTTAAACAAGGTCTTATATTTGGGAACTCACAGTTGTTTAAATCAACATCAGGTAGTTGTAACCTTCTATATTGTGGAAATTGGGCTCACTGTTTAAATTGAAGATACCAACAGAGTGGAAGAAAATACTAACTTGGAAAATGTTTTAGCCTGTGCATTATAGAAAATGATCTTTTAGAAAATTAGCTTTTTAGATTGAGTGGAGAATCTCTCACCAAATTTGGAAATGGTCCCAGTTTTCAGCTGGGAGAGCCAACGGGGGAGCTGGCTATGTGGACTTTAGTTTCTCTCCTTTTAATCTTCACATCTAGGGCTCAGGAAATCTTAACTTCTTTCTGCATCACTGACTTGGCACGCCATTGAAAATACGTTGTAAAAGGAGAGATAGGTGGAATTAGGAGAGATTCTCTTAATATGAGATCTAATTCCCACGGATAGAGGGCTGCATGCCTTTCTCTTGTTTACTTAAAATTCTGTGTGTCACTTTGGAGGCAAAATCTTTAGTGAGCCATCTTTCTAGTGAAAAGTAAGGCCTAGATAAGAGGGGATGTGTAGATTATGGTAGGAGTCATGGGGTAATGAAGTAGTAATGGCTAATGGTGGAAAATAGTGGGATGGGGCATGTAAGAGCTCAGGCTCTGGTGACATTCTGCTTGGGTTTGTATCCCCACCATGAGTCCTCGGGTCCTTGAGCAAGTTACTTAGAGTCCAAGGCTGGATTTTCCAGGAAGTAGACTCTGAGATGAGTTGGTCATTTATTCTGGACTGTTTTTGGTCCAACATCTGAGGGAGGGAGAGGACAGAAGCAGGATTCGGCAGAGACAAGTCAGCAGCTGTGCAGTAGAGGGAAGCTCTGGAGCTAGAGTGGCCCTATGGAATTCTACTGAGCTGGGCAAAGATACCTCACACCAGAGGTGGGTTACTCCTGGAGGGCGAGTGACTTTGGACAAGGCAGTTCTGTTCTGAGGCATCCTTGAGTGGCCAGAAGTGGAAGGCTGTCTGCCAGCAGCTGGGGCGACAGGTCCTTCAGTGAAGGGAGATCTGGGGCATCAGTGTTCACAATGCTTAGCTTCTCTGGGCCTCTGTTTCCTAAGAATATTTTTTTGATAATTAGGTGAGATGATATATGTAAGGTGCTTAGAACTCTGCTTGGCAGGGAGTAAATAAGTATTGCTCTGTATCAGGCATAGGTTAAATAGTTTTCCCAGGGTCTCCCCGGTGGTGAGTGATAAAGATGGCTTTGGAACTGACTCTCTCCAGTCTGCTTTTAGTTATGACGTCAAATATCTAACATGCTACAATCCATATTGGTTTGAATAGGTTTATTTCAGCCCTGTTTGCTCCATAACTGTATCTCACCTAAGAAAGACCATGTCTGGTGTTTTTGCCATAAGTATCTTTGTCGTAGACATTTTTGCTGCAAGCATTTTTGCCTCATAACTAATTGGCCAAAAGGCAATTTTGCCATAAAAGAGAAAATAACTGGTTGACAGTTTGGTTTGACAATTTAGCTTCAACTAGAAAAATACAGTGATCAAACTTAGTGGAAGTGTGAAACAAGAGTTGAAAGCCAGACTGCATACTATACTAGAAAATGACAACATATCAGTGTGCAGAGCCTTCGATGAGCACAGTCACCCCTCCCACCTGTCAAAACCAAAAGTTTCCGAGCTATGGCAAATATAAAAGAGGCAGCTAGCCATTCATAAGAGTCTTTGAGAGCATTAATTATCAATTCTCTAGCTAATTTAGATACAATGGTTTGTTCTCTAATGCCGTCTTTAACAAATTTATCATGCAATATTAGAAGTTGGAGGCAAAAGAAGAGTCAAGCTCCTCTTATCCCCCTCCCTCTGAAAAAAGAAATGGTTACATGATTCTGATGAGTGTAAGTTTCTTGAAATTGGTGAAAATTTTTTGCTACTTGATAGTGGAGAACATGATGTGGACAGAATTTTGGTATTTGGTATAGAATCTGGCTTAGATGATTTGGTGAAATATAAGGGCTGGGCATGTGATAGAACATTTAAGTGTAGTCCAGATATGTACCACATGTTTCATTATGTCTTTTTTAATGTCCATCTTTTATTTTGTTTTTTGTTATTTTATCTTTTATGGCAAAATTGCTTTATAGCCAATTAGCAAAAATGCTTACAACAAATCTGTCTACGGCAAAGATGCTTACAGAGATTACCTAGAACCAGGAAAGAGCTCCCTAGCCAGGGCTGACTGCAGGACCCTCCTTCCCTTCACTGTGCTACGGTGCTTCCCCTGTCTCTTTCCTTCCCCTCTCCTTTCCCTCTCTGGATTTCTCTCCTCCCACCTGTAGCCTCCTTCTCTGGCTTCCCACTTGTCTTTATTGATGGGTGGGACCTGATTTGGAGCAGGAGAGCTGACTAAAGTAGCAAGAGTGGAAGGAAGGAGAGGTGAAAACCCTGGAGTACTCTCGTGGTCTCCAGACTCATGGTGCTCTGCCTCTCTCTCGCACATTCCGGCCCCCATTCCCATTCCCCTAGCCTCTACTCTTTACATTTAGTGACCCATCCTAGGTCTACAAATGAAATGCCAGAGTATTCTTTGTGGGGTAAGACAATAGAACTTTCATCTGAAACTTAGATAAATCTTAATTCTAGTTTTTCTGTATCCAAAGCTCTGCCTTGTAGACCTTCTCTGGGAAAATCCTTTCCTGTCACCCCAAACTGACATATGAATGAATGATTAGAACACAGCCTGTTTGTTGCCCTATATTTTCTTCCTCCCCAAATTACAAGTTGAATAGCCAATGAAATTGTTTATTCTTTACTGTTTCTTCCTTCATGTACCCATTGATGGGAAGCATTTGTAAATAAATTACTGTATGTGTAGTGTTCTAGGGAATACAATGAAATAAAAGAATCAGTATTTTTGAGGAGCTTTACAGCCTAGTTCAGGGTGAGGCTGAATTTTTAGAGAACTTTGTTTATGTGATACTTAGTTGTTCTGAGTTCGCAGCACAAACTTAAAACAGAAACATTTTAATTATTGATGTTAAATGCAACATGTATACATTTTACAGATAGGAGAGCAATAGGAATGTAAGTAATTTGTGGTAACTAAGTGTTCAACCCAATGATGAAATCTATCTGCTGTTCTCAGTCCCTCCAGAGCTTTCTCTTCATGGCGTCCAGGTTCTCATTTATCCAAGAGTCACAGCAGGTAGAGGGCCAATCTTCTATGTCCTTTTTCCGCCCTCAATCACTCCTCCTCAAGGGACAAAGAGGGATTTTATTTTACTGGTGACTTGGAAGAAGATAATGGGCAGGGACAATATATTCTTTCTTTTCTCTTTAGGGGAAGACATGCTCGTAAAGTGCCCAAGTTCTCCTACCAGAGGAAGTCCCGTCCTGCTGCAGCACTTCCTAGAACTGAGTGTGTAAGTCTGTCTAACTGTGGAATTCAGTGTTGTGAAGCCTACTGACCCACAAAGATAAACTGCATTCTCCAATACCAGCTTAACCAGTAAAATATTACTGTATTTAGACTCCTTCTGCCTTACTCTTTCCTTATTCCCAATTTAAACCTGATTGGCTCAAAGCCCAGGTGGGATTAGGGATGTCATTTATCAGTCTGCACTCAATCCTAAAGGTCAGGTGTTAGGGTTTCCTAAGGCATTAACTCCAGACCCAGACCACTCTGCACTAGATGGATCAGCATTTATTCAACAACATTTTGTGTATATGTGCATGTGTTTCTTCCAAAGAGAAACTCTTGGGAGGCAGGAATTAGGTAGGAACTGCTGACTTGGGCAGACCCTCTTCAATTCAGCTGAACAAGTCATTATGAAGCTCCTGGGATGGGCTAGGGGGTGCATCAGGCCCAGAGGACACAGATACTAATGGGACACCTCCAAGAAGCTTTGGATCCTATAAAAGGTAGGGGCACGGGGAAGTGGAGGGATGGTAAACCAGGCTGCAGGGTAGAAGAGTGGTTATTCTTTTTCTCTATTTATAACACTGTTACTGAATGAGCAGCATTTGGCTTAGGCTGTAGGGTCGTGCCATCCTGACGATAAGACCACTGAAAAGCAGGCTGGTGGTCTTCCTCCCATGCCAAGTTTTGTATAATGGATACAGTGATCGTATTAATTATATAGAGCAGTGTAGATGAGAGATAAAGAATATGTGCCTTGAAGCTTGCCTTACTAGGTTCACATCCTTGCCTTCTAGCTGTGTAACTTTAGGTAAGTTACTTAACTCCTCTGTGTTTCTGATTCCTCACATGAGAAAGAGGGATAATAGTACCTGCATTGTAGTGCTACAGTGAGGATTAAGTGATCTGGTAGAAGTAGAGTGCTAAGCATAGTGCCTGGCACCGAGGGTCCTCAATAGAGGTTAGCTCCTGTTGTTATTAGCTATTATCAAGAATGTGCATGTGTATCAAGAATTTAGCTAAAGTGCTCCATGATACTGCTGCTTCAGCATCTGTTTTGTGTGGTCAGGTGGCCTGCAGCCTGCAGGGGCCTTGAATTGACACTAGCCCATCCTGCGATCACGTGCCTAGGTAACAGCCCATAGAGAACAGCCTGCAGAGTCACAGCAAATGCAAGTTCCTGATATAACTTCCCCAGCAGCCCTTGGGAGCAACAGTCTCCCCAGGGCTCCCCTCTGTGCCCCTTAGATAAGAACCCCTTGGAGCTTACCAAAACCCTATGCTTTTTGGTTTGAATTGATCAATCTGGCCTTAGCCTGGGAACCCCAAAGCACTTCACCCATGGTCCCTAATAAAGGCATGTGCCCTCAGTCCTGTCACTCTCTCGTCCTGCGCCCTGACTTGACCTCCTGATGTGGCACCTCCAGGCGTGTGCTGTGTACATCCTCCAGGACCTGTGAGTAATAAACTTCTCTGTTTATTTCCCTTGTGGTCTTTTGTTGAACCTAGACTCACCATCTCACATCCTGGGGTTCTACTTAACAAATGTTAATTTAACAAAGTCATAACAATGTGGCACGGGAATGAGGACTAGAAGACAAACCAGGAAGACAAGAGGAGTGGTTCTTTATAGCTCATTGAAAGGCTTTGGGTCTAAGACTTTCTTCACTGTCATGGTGGGAGCAGATACAATTAACAGCCAAAGAGGCTTCCACATCCAGAAAGGAAAATCTACTGCCCAGCCTCTTCATTTCAGCCCAAGGATTTGCTTGCCATCTACTTGACATAGCAGGAAAGTGTGGTGCTTGCACCAGTGGTAAGAAATAAGGTCAACCTGTGGCAGCAAGATGCAGAGTGGTTTGCAGTTTTGCCGAATCCCACCTGTTTTGGATGAGTGGTGAAACATGAGGCCAAACCTTAATCTTCTTTATTCACTTGGGGGCTAAGGATATTTATTTCAAATGCTCGTTCTGGTTGTGTTTGAAAAGTTGGACAAAGTGCATATCATTGAATTAAAAAGTGTTTATTGAATGCCTACTAGGTACATGGGTCCATACCAGGAACTTAGTTATTGTATAGTTTAACCTCATAAAAATCCTTTGAGGTAGATGTTGTTATCTTGGTTTTATAGATGAGGAAATTAAAGTTTAGAATCTTTCTAAAGACAATACGATAGAAGTTGCTCGAATTTGAACTCAGGTCTTCAATAAGATTTCTTAAAAGTTACATGGATTCAATTATTTGCATGTCTACTACTTTATGAATTTTAGAAATACAGAAAATCATCAAGAAGAAAATAAAAATCACCCACGATGTCACAACTATTTAAATTTTGGAGTATTTTCATCCAATTTTAATATGTATGTATATGTTTGTTTTTTTCCTACAAAAATGAACTGCTTTCTATGTTATTTTAAAACTCTTCTTTAAACAATGTTATGACGGCTTTTTCTTATTATTAAATAGTTTTCCAAACCTGATTTTTAATTGCCACATTTCATTATGTGGCTGAAGAAAGCCCTTATTGTTCAACTGTATGTTTTCCATTTTCCCCTATTTTAAACAATGATGCCATAAAAATCTTTGTATGTAATTCTTGTGCATGTCTCCAATTATTCCCTTAGAATAGTTTCAGAAGAATAATTACTACATAAGAGGTTGTTCCAGTTATCTATCGCTGTGTAACAAACCAGCCCAGAACTTAGCTGCATTAAACCACCACCATTTTGTTATGCTCGTGGATGCTGTAGGTTAGGAGTCCGGAAACGACGCAGCAGGCATGGTTGTTCTCTGCTCCATGATGTCTGGGATCTCAGCTGGGAGACTCAAAGGCTGGGCTCAGCCAGCACTGTTGACTCCTCTTCCTACATGTGGCCTCTCCAGCCTGGTGATCTCAGTGTAGTAGCACTTTTATGACTTGGCCCAGGGCTCCAAGAGTGTTTCAGTGGCACAAGGCAGATGTATATGAGCTTTATGAACTAGGCTTGGGGGTCACCTGATGCCACTTTTGCTGTGCTCTATTGGTTGAAGCAGTCACAATCCGGCCCCGATTCAAAGAAGAGAGTATATAGACCCCTACCTCTCAATGGAAGGAGTGTCAAAGAATTTATAGCTGTGTTTTAAAACTACCAGAGAAGACATAAACTATTTTCAGGATTTTGACATATATTATCAGCTTGCCCCAGAAAAATGTTATATAAATCAACACTTTTTCCAGTAGTGGCTCTTACCCACTCTTACCCACAATGGATATTACAGTTTTAAGAGATATTTGTCAGTTTGATAGGCAAAAGATAGCATGTCATGTCATTGCAATTTTCAAGTATCTGAATACTAGTGAGATTTTATATTTTTTTTCAGTTACTTGTCAAAATTTTATGTGAATTTCCTGCATTTTGCTTATTTTTCTGTTGGAGTAGACATCTTTTTCCTCATTAAAATTGGTAGGTGTTATTTATATATTAAGGCTAAATCAAGGTGTTCTGACTCTAAATTTAGTTTTTTCACCACCACTCCTTAGCAACTCTAATCAATAAACATTTTTAGTACGATGTGGAAGGCGCTGTTTGCTTGTAACCCCACTCTGCCTCTTTCAAGCTGTATGACTTGAACAATTTAATCAAGCCTCCTGGGCCTTCATTTCCTCTCCTGTGATGCTGGGATAATAATATTCCTAACGCATTGGTTATTGTGAGGATTCGGTAATGTCCAGTTAAAATGCTTAGAAGAAGGGTTCTTACATGCCAACTGACCCATAAAGGAAGTGTTTATTCTTAATATTATTACTGTCACCGAATGGATGAGACCTGGATACTTGTGGGAATCCTAGCGATTATCTCATTCTTTCTGTTGTCTGATTTGTAACTGTACAACTGCAGATCTGCTGGTCATGTCAAAGCCATTTGGCTTCTGAATTCAAATGAGTCATGGTTACTCTGAGAAAGATTTCATATTTTGCTTATTATTTTAAATTTGATTCTCAAATTTCCCAAAGGAAGTAAGTCACTGACAATGCGGGACAGGCTTTGAAGCAGGTTGTTGAGGCATCTTAGTTAATGGGTGACATGCTTGGAAATAATCACCATCCTTGATTGCCATGCCAATATAATTAGAAAGAATGGGGGAGAGAACACGTTTCTTTGTGAAACGCCTAAGATAAAAATTTAATTAAAAAATTAAATTTGACGGCATTTCCTCTGCCTCTTTCATTTGTCTTTCCATTCCATCAGACTGATTGAGCACAGACTCAAGCATCGTAGAGCGTGTTGTGGAGCAGCATTGATGAAAGAAAAATAAAACCCCTTTCTTTAGAAGGCTAAGTCTCAAAGAGCTCTCATTGCTTCCACTCAGGAGAGACTGTGAAAACAAAAGGCCAGGGCCTGGGTCTGAAGTGACCATAGCAGGGCTCAGCTCCCAGGCTCTCATTACCTCCAAGTGTGTGCCTTCCTCCCAGCCCAGCAGCCTCCTTGTGCTCTTTCCTTTCAAGGCCTCATGGGGGTGTTGGAGTGCCATGCGTTGATATATGGGGGATGGGGATTCAGAGGGGATGGAGAGGCCTGGTGGCCCCATCCTCACCACCCCCAGGACACTGAACATTTGTTGTCTCCAAAGAGGGCTTCTCTGGCTTCAGCCCAGCTGTCCCTGTGTGATAACCAGCATGGCTAATGCTCTAGTGATGAGCCACTTTGAGTCTCTGCCTCAGCACTTCTGATCACTGTGAAATATGAGTTGGGGGAGTTCTCTGTAACACACGCCTGTTTGACTGAGCCCCTATTCAGGCATCCGGTGTCAGCACTTGTCGCAGACAGCTGCTCCAGCCAGACAGTGACAGATTCAGCCTCCTGCTCAGACTGTCAGGGGAGTCTCCCCCTCAGGCTTGGGCTTGTCACAGGAGCGCCTGGCCGAATCCTGCCAGGGCTCTGGGCTGCACCTGTGCTTCCAACTGTCAGTGGGCTTGAAAGCCAGCCGCTTTCCACTAGCCTTCTTGTCAAGGTCAGCTGGCATGGTGGGGGAAGGGAGCTCCTGAATGGAGACAGACTGCCTCTTTTGTCCTTTGCCCCTGCGTCAGAAGTCCAGGGGGGCCAGGATTTGTCAAAGAAAGCATTTGAGTAGATC